CCGTCCCACCTCTTCCCGCCTCGTCCTCTTCTCCCCGCCCCGCATCACCCACCTCCTCGCAGCTCCTCCGCCCCGCCCCCAGACGCCTGCGCCGCGCCGCGCCGCGCGCCGCTCCTCGCGGGAATTACCGGCCTCGCGCAGCGGCGCGTGACGCGATGGCGCTATTCTTAGCCGCTGCATCGGAGGCTGCGCAGATGACGACGCGCGCGTATTCGGAGCACATCTTCCAGCCCCGCGGCGCGCGGCTCCGCGAAGCAGGCCGCTGGTCGCGCCTCGGAAACGTAACATCTCTGCGCAATCACCACTGTCTCATTGCCAGTAGCGAATGATTCAATTCACAGGGTATTATTCATATCTCCGGGAGTAGTTCCACATGTTCCTCATGGAATGACAGATAAAGAAAACAATATAACCCCTTGCATTATCTGTTCGTATTTACGGTATCCGTTCATTGCTGCTGTTCTCGAGCCTTACAGGGCTTCCAGAGCATATTAGTGATCACAAACACGTCTTTTCGTTTGTGGTAGACTCCACGTATTGGGTCAAAGACTGTGAGTAATAGTTCTGCCTATACAATCGATTTTTTGTATTCGAAGAGGAATATTTTAAAACGATCAAAATCAATTTTCTTCAACATAATTTTGTAATAGCATTTTCTAGCCTTTTAAAAAAACCTATGTAAGATAACATTTCGCGAAAACATTACTAAATCGTAGTAAATAAAGGGGAAAAATGTTGTTTACGGAAATTGAAACTTAGTATTCTAATCTTTAAAGTTGGATTCTGTAGAATAATAAAAAGGTTGGGAGAGTTTTCCGGCTCATGCGACCTGCTTTGGGGTTACGCCTTTTGGTCTGTTTTATAAGACACCTGCCAAGAAAAATATTGGAATATTCATCCACAAACAGATTCATTTCCTATAGCTTTTCTCGTTGTATGCAAAAAAAGTCATTAAATATGTAGACAGCATTGCCAGTAGTGAATGATTCAATTCATTAGGTATTATTCATATCTCCAGAACGATTCACTAAAGATTATGACAAGGGACTCACAACTCTCCCCACTGATCTCAGACATCTAATTTCCCCGGCGACAAGGACCACGCTCATCACATGATACGACAATTTCTGTATGTTTCGCTCACTCATTGGCTGAAAAAAGATTCCATGGCTTCAGACGTTCTTTTGTTCTGCGATCATCACCAGCCTCTCACATAAGCATTGGCACATTCATTTCTGAATTTTCAGAAAACGTCTCATTCTATCATTTTATGGATAATGACATTTCCCTTTATATGAAATATTGAATATAATTTTACTACAGAATAAAGAAAAGCTTTTATTTTTCATGCTTACATTAATCGTTAAAATTGGCCGCCAGATTGTACTTGTTGCAAGAAATTTGAAAGTAGTGTGTACAGACTAAAATGGAATGATGTTATATGTTCTACATTTAAGGCACAAATATTAAATAATCCTAATTAATCCAAAAAATGGATCTTAAATAACATGACAAGGTGAAGGTTGAAACTAGAAATGTAAACCTCTGTTAGTGTCGTACTCCCCCGCTTGGCTGCGCAATTATCAATAAGTCGAAACAGGTTTCTTGGCGCCTGTGCAGACGCAACCCGCAGTTCAGTACAGTATGGAGTGTTGCAGTTATCAGGCGTGTAACCATTCTCACACTTAGCTCATATAGTCCAGCAATTTCTAGTGAATTTACGTAAGATTTCTCCGGAAGCTCAGCTAATATACTTTCTTTGCCTATTTTCTAATTTTGAATTAATACTGATTAACCTAAAACTTTCATCGACCGAATTGAGTTTGTATTAAGATATTTATCCGAAATATCGTTACCTACCGTTAAAGGCGACTCATTTTAGTATTTCAAAAGTTATGAAGAAACTATTTACTACATGTATGTGCGAAAAAATTATGCAATACGAGGATAATAACATTTCATCAAAATATTTTTTAACTCTTAACTACCGCCCTGCTAAGAGTCACATAGTTCCTCATTGTGTACGCCCGATTAAAATATTTTTCTGTGAAGGATAATAATGATGATAATAATATTATTAATAATAATATAATAATAATAATAATAATAATAATAATAATAATAATAATGTTACGTCTTTTCTTGTTACATTAGAAGTGCAGTACATTTTTTTTATTTCAATGCAATGTTATATTACAGATTTAATATTTTATTACTGCAATTAAAAAGACTCTCCCTCTCTCTCCCTCTCTCTCCCTCTCTCTCCCTCTCTCTCCCTCTCTCTCTCCCTCTCTCTCTCCCTCTCAAAATAAATAATTCGTAATAATAATTTATTATTTTAAGAAACAACTAATCCTAACGCTCTCTTTTCCAGGTGAATGGGGCTATCACAGGAAAGGTCATTGTCAAGCGGGTCTTGGAGCGAGTATTTCTAAGGTAAGTGCCCCTGTCACTCCATCACAAACGCTTTGATATGTGTTTTCGAAATAATTTGATTGTGTTACCCTTCGAAAGGGTCTAGACAATATTTCTAGGTGTGGCATTATTTATCTCATTGAAATATTGCAAAGTGAAGTAATACAACTATCATATTTCGTTTTTCTGTGAATTTGTATGGTGTCTCACTTCGTTTTATTTCATAATATATACGCAAGTTCTATATCAATGTTTCTGAACATTTTCCTATGGCTACCTACGTCCCCTCTCCATCCACCACAAATAGTAAGAGTACTGTCAAGTTCATTTTCTTAGATATTTAATAAAAATTATGTTATTACTAAACGAAAGTTACGTTATCATTAAAATAATATTCTGTGAACTCCAGTCTTCAATATCTTACATTTTTCGTTTAATTTTTTTTTCTAAACGGCTATGTCGCGTCTTCTGTTACGCAACATTTTTTTAATGAATTCTCTTAGTTCTGTAAACCTGAAAACATCTTGAAATCTGAGAAATGTAAAAGAAGGCGTATTGGTCTACACATTTTTAAAACAATGATTCTTAAGAATTTCTTGCTTTTCACGATTTTTTCATTTTTTGTTTTGATTTGTTTGAATTAACTCGCTTTCCAAATGCATGGTTTCACGGACATCGGAGCCATATTTGATAATTCTACAGCAATCCCCTACGGTTAGCTAACATTTTTACTCTGCAAAATGTTTGAATACTTTAAAACTCATCTTAAAAGGACCAATGACGGGACTGAAAAGTAGTGAGGTATTGCTGTAATATTTCCCCAAAAAAGTATACATATATCTTGAAAACGTTTGTAATAACGTGAGTCTCCGTGTAAAAGACTTTGCTACGATATAAGATTCTAATACAAAACTAAGAATGACACCCGCATGTTCGGTTATATAAACAATCAATCTATATTTGGAGACGAGGTTTTCGGCACCGAAATTCCCAAGCGACATTCCATTAAATAAATCTTGAAGTTTGTTAGTACTTTTGCACATTTTCAATTTGTTCTCCGCAGTGCTTCGGAAGAGACAAAAGTGCAGGCTGGCATGCGCTGAGCATTTAATTCGTGAATCAACGATTCCAAAGAAGGGGAAAGGAATGGGATGGTGGTTACAGTGGCCCGAGGGCGGCGGGTGATGGCAGCGGACGTCGTGAGGGGGGTGTGCGCTGGCGGGGAGCGGTGCGGGAGGCTAAGAGCGGGCGGTGAGTGTATGTGGTAATGGTGACGGACGATGTATGGTGATAGATGGGAGGGACGGCAGCCAATGGAGGCTGGAAGCAAGCGTAGGCGGAGACTATGGTGAGAGGGTGATGTTGAAGTAATGTGTTTTGGCAGGGTAGAAACGGCGGGTGATGGCAGCGGGTAGCAACTGGGCAGAAACGATGTGCGGTGACGGGGGTGGTAGGACGGGGAGTGGCGACGGGGAGGGGCGCCGAATGGTGAGAGGGGGGTGACGGCGGTCGGTGGCGAGGGCGGGCGGAGTTGTCGGAAGCGGGCGACGGCCAGTGGGCGTCCTAGGGCGGCGGCGGCGGTGGCAGGGGGCGCCGCGCAACAGGAATGTTGATTTCTGGAGGATTTACCGCCAGTCGCTCTGCGTGCCATACCCGCACAGTGGCTCATACGACTTGGTCGAAGGTCTGCGACTAGATCCGGTCACGGACACGCATAAAATACGTGTTCGTATCTCAGAACTTAATAGGTTTTTTTCTGAATTGAAATTTTGTAAAATACCAAAGATAGAAAGTCAAAGATAGAAAATGTATGTAATTTTAGATATGCATGTTGAAAACGTTAAATAACAGTTTATGTATTGGTCCCCACCCTATTCTTCGCCCTTGGCCTTGATCATGGTTTTTCCCCCATCACCATCCTTCGCTCTCCCGTTTTCGCTCTTCTTTATCTCCGCTCTGCTCTTCGTCGCAACGGGAGAGTCTGGCACCATGTGGCAGAGCCGTCGTTCGACCTTGTCCTTCGTTCTTTCCCCTCCGTTCTGCTCATTGCCACATCGGGAGAGTCTGCGACTGAGGGGCAGGGCCATCCCTTGCTCTTCGTCATTGCCCTCCGTCTTTTACCTTCGCTCACGCCATTCGTCGTTGCCCTTCGTCCTTGCCCTTCGTTCTTGCCCTTCGTCAGCGCCCTTTGTTCTCGCCTTCGTCCTCACCCTCTGTTCTTGCCCTTCGTCCTTGCCCATTGCCCACGCCATTCGTCCTCGCCCTTCGTCCTCGCCCTTCGTCCTTGCCCTTCGCCCTTGTCCTTCGCCCTTGCCCTTCGCCCTTGCGCTTCGGCTCCTCCCTTCGCTCCGCTCTGCCCGTCGCCGCCGCGGGCGAGTCTGCCACTGTGCGGCCGAGCCGTCCTTCGGGCGGCGCGGCGCGGACCGGTTGCCGCTGACGATTCAGGCTCCGTGCGCCGGCGCGGCGGATGGTTCACGGCGCGCCTCGTGCTATAGTGGATGGTCGGCCTATAATATATTTCATCCCGTCGTTTAGAATAAGCGTCGTTTGTTTACTACTGTTGTCGCGGCGAACGCACGGAATCCCATGTGTTCATGAGGAGAATCGGGAATTGCTCTCCGAAACTCACGGCATCCATTCGACCCAACGGGATTCCTAGAAGCATCTTTCGCAGTTCACTCTACATCACTGTCAAAGGAAGAATATTTTAATTCGTTTCACAATAATATAATAGAATGCAATACGTATCGCATTTGTATATTACTTTATTATTACTCTTATGTTACTTTAGTTTCATTGTATGAAATAGTATATATTTTTTTGTAGAAGAACAAAGAGCCGACCTGATTGAACAAGGGAACAAAGAAAGAGTGACACTTCTGCCCCCCCGAGGGTAAGGGCGTGGGCGCGAATTCGGACCTGAGTATGGACGTTTGGCCTTGTCTGTGGTGTGTTGACGCATACGGCCTCGCGTGCCGCTCGTTTGAGATGCAACTGGGTTAGTGTCCTGTGTTGGCTCAAGATACACCTTATTGCTGTGTAAAAATAATGAGTTCTGAATGGAAAAAGCTCTCAGAACTAAAACAAGTTAATATAGTGGTTTTAGAAATTTGCTGAGAATTAAAAATAGAAAATCTTTTAAGACCTCAGCGACCAAACGCGAGCAAACATAAATTAAATAAGAAAGTATACAAAATTGAAACATAATTTAAAGATAGGACTTTGAGTATTGTAAAATTTAAAATTGTAATTTTGAATTGTTCTCGAAGTGAGATCACTGGAATACGAGAAATAAAGGAGAATTTTATTTCAGCCTGAGTGAAGACCATTCTTATGCTAATCGTTCGTTCTGTGCAAATGATTCAGACGTCGATCTCTTTTTCTAACATTCCTTTTTCTTTTGATTCACTTTTAAGTTTGTCTTGGAAGATTTCTACCCTATCGAGGCAGCATTCCATTGATGTTCTCCCCAAAATTTCGTCCTACTAAATCATTCCCACATACTGTTGAAATGGCACTGATACAGTTGTGGAGGCTTTTGCAGTCGGTCACGTATTTACTTTCCTATTGTCTCGGCGATGCTGATTTCGAAAACTAGAAATACTGTGTACTTTTTTCAGCGGAAGCAAAAATTTCGTAGCCTAAATAACTTTCTGTCTCCTGACGATTGACTATTCTTGTAAATAAAGGAAATAAATATTTCAGAATTTAAAGTATACAATTTTAATTAATTTTGTTGCAGATACATTACTTGCATTTGCCCGCGCTAAATTAATATAAACATTTTCCACTTCAGACCGCTTCGCAGTAATTCTATACGGGTAGCAATCGGATTGCTACGAATCGTTTGGACCAACCTGTAGTCTGCATCATTCCTCATCTCCAGCAATTTGTTGGGCAGCAAGCCTCCGTCACTGAATCGCGTCAGCGGCCAGAAAAAAGAACATATGTTCTTTTCAATTTGGTTGCACTGAATTCCTCATTCGGGAGGGTTTAATATGTACTCGTACATATTTACGTGAAGCATCGTTTTATTTACAGTTCGAGAGCTTATCTACCAGACACCAATCCCAATCAGCGCAATTTTATCTTTTCCGTCTTTACATAAAGAGTGTTACATTCCTGTATTCTATAGAATTGAAAAAAGACACGCAAAGAGGCGATCTAGTTATTCCAGACATCAGCGATTCGTTTGAAGAAATGGAAATGCAACATAGAGTTTGCTCCTTACACCTTCGAAACTCGAATCTCAATTACCTTTTTCCCTCCTGGCGAAGAAACACTATACTGCGGCACCTTCAGAAATACATCCCATTGGAATATATATCCGCACTTTTAGGTGCTGGATGTGCTATAACAAGCAAACGGGACGGAAAACAATGCCCCGGCCAAAGCATCTATGGTGTAGTAGGGGGCAAAAGAGATGGGATAGCACTACTTCTTGCGAGACTAGAGAAACTAGAGAAGTTTAGTTCTTTATTGCCAAATTCAACTAAATAGAAGGGCCGAAGTAATCAATGTTAAAATAATAATAATAATAATAATAATAACAACAACAACAATAATAATAATAATAATAATAATAATAATAATAATAATAATAATAATAATAATAATCTCGAATTCAGCTATTCCTTTGTTGGCATAGAAAACCGCCACGTATTCCTTTCTACACAAAGCGCATGTCGATTAATGTTTCCCTTCCTAGCGGAGAAACACTACCCACTCTGAGTCACCCTGTAGAAATCCTTTCCGGAGGAATACATTTCCATACTTTGCAGTGATGGATGCGCGGCAACAAACACACGGGGCGGAAAACAATGCTGCCGGTCGCCCCGACGCAAAAAGCTCCCGGTAGTAGCAGCAATGGCGGCGGCGGCGCATGTTATCATGGCGTTATGATGCACGTGCGCGGCCGCGCTGTAAATCGGGGGCCGCTGTGACAGCGCCGCGCCGGGCCCCGATGTCGGCGGGGGCCGTGTCGGCCGGCGCGCATTGTCGGCGGGGGCCGTGGCAGCCGCCCTCGCAGTGAGCCGGGTGGCGGGAAATGGCGGACGAAAAGTGAATATTACTTCAGAATACTTCAGAAGAATTAAGTTCAAACAATTGTAACATCGGGGATGAGAGACATGTGATGTAATTGGTCAAGCTGCTCACTTTGTGACTGTGGGTACCGGGGTTCAAATCCCAATGGATCTATGGTTAGTGAGAAAAGTGCGCTCGCGATAGGATTTCTTGGTGTTCTGTGGTTTTACCTGGCTCTAATTCCACCATTGTTAAATCATCATGCATGAATATCATATTAGCATCATCCCCATCTATCATAATTGTTCATCGCTGGTTTGGGATCGAAAAGACTTGAGACTGAGAGTCAAAAGGAATGAAGCATAGACTCAACAGTTCTAGGTTCGTGTCTTGACAAATTTCGACATCAGGTAGATTCCTGAGCCTGGGCATGCTTCTGCTTGGATAATAATTGATATCGGCTATTCTGACGTCGTCGTTTCCGTGTTTCCCAGGCCGATTCCGGAACAAAACCTCCGGCCACATTTTCTTCAAGAAGATCTCTAGATTAAAAGTTGATCTTTAGTTCCATAGCGGGAGGTAGAAATGAAACCTTCAGCGAAGTATTTCTGGTAAATCTTGTGAATTAGTTCAAGTTTCATTGATACATAAGTATTCAAACAGTAAATGATATGTCTTTACTTGCATATTTCGCTTAAGATATAAAAGTATGAACAAATGTGAAAATACTACACATGATTTTAGGAAAAATATAATTACAAGGAAATGAGAAGTGACGAAAGAATATATACTTTTATTAAAAACAGTTACTGAGAGATGTGGATATCAAAACCAGATAAATTTGTGACCGGCCTGCTTGTGTGTGTCTTAACCTTCAATACAATTATTGCTATAATAGCACATACCTTCTCGCATATTTTCTAACTTTTATAATTTCCGAAAAATCAAAGATTTCAAAGAAAATGACACTCTCACCATTTTAAGTAATTTTCACCAGCCGAGGACAAAGTTTATTAAAAAAATAGGGGAAAAAATGGAAGAACATAATTAACTTCATACAGATGCAAGATTTATCCAA